GTATATATAAAAATATATTTTGTACAAACAGCAACCACAACATTCAGGTAGTACACTAATATCAGACACAATAAACTTTCAGATAAAAAATGTTGAAAGAGAAAAATTATGTAAGAAAAAAGTTTCCCTATCAAAAACATACAATTATAAACATATGCAACTCAGAATCAAGTCCAAAATATGTAAAGCAAAAATAGGGAGAACTAAAGGAAGGGTTGGGGATTTCAAAACTCCTACTTTTCAATTAAAAAAAAAAAAATACACACACATACACTTTCTTTCTCTCTCTCTCTCTTTCTCTCTCTCTCTCTGAGGGCATGGTAGTACACACCTGTAATCCCAGCACTTGAGAACCTGAGGCAAGAGGGTTACTATGAATTTGACCCCAGCTTGGGCTACACAGTGAGTTTAAGGCCACCCTAAATTACACACTGAGACCCCGTCTTAAAAAAAAAACAAAACTATTTAAAAGATGAAGAAAGACAAATGAAACAATTACAACTAACAATAACAGATTACATATTTTTCTCAAGTGCCTGAAGAGCAGGCACTTGGACAGAACATATGTTAATCAATAAAACACATCTCAAATAATTTTAAAATATGACAATGACATTGTCTCCTCTGGGTACAATAACAAATTCAAACAAAGAAATCTAAAATATTTGCAAATCTGCGAAATCAACAAAAACCTGCCCAATCACCAATAGGACAATGCAGAAAGCACAGGTGAAATTGCAAAGTACATTGAAAAATGCAAAGCTGAAAATTAATATGTTGAAATTTAGAAAATATAGCAAAAGCAGTGTTGCAAGGGAAGTTTATACAGCTATAATTGTCTACATTAAATGGCCTACTTTTATAAAGAAATTACAAAGTGGTCAACCCTAAGTAGAAGAAATGGAGATACTAAAGAACATATAAAAATAACAAAAACAATGAAGACATCAAAACTAGCTCCTTAAAGAGATAAATCAAACTGTCAAACCTCTAATTTTAAAAGTGAATGGAACAAATTAATAAAATTGGGAACAAAAATGAGGATACGACCACTGACCATTATGAAAACACTGTGAGAGGTTGTTTTAAAGCTTTAATAAAGTACTACTTACATGATAATTCATCCAAAGAGTACAACTAAATGAGTTTTCACACACTGACCAACGTGAAACTTGCACATGGCAATAAAACATTTTCATCACCTCAAAGAGGAACCTTTTAGCTAACTACTCTCTAGTGCAAAGCAACTATTAACTGTTCTTGCATACTTAGGATATTCATACAAATCTAATAATACAATACATTGTTTTTACTAACTAATGAACTTTTCAAAGTCCATTCATCATGTTGTGTACATCAATACTTCTGACTTTTTATAGCCAAATAATACTGCAGTGTATGGACATAGTATATCATATTTATATACTCACTAGATGGTGAGCATTTAGTTGTTTTAGATTTTGTTTACCATAGGGTTTATTTCACAATTAAATAATCTACACAAAGTTGACATATTCCGAGGAAGACACAAAATATAAAATGGACCCAATACCAAAAATGAGAGCAACAAAGCTCAATACATTCATATTGAGACTCAATCAGTAATCATGAACTAAAAAAAGCCTCAAAGGGATCATTTTTGAGGTAAGAATTATTAAACATCTGAAGAAGAATTAACAAATTGGGTGCAGCCATAATCCTAACACTTAAGAAGAATGACGCAAGACTAAAAGCTTTAGCCAAGTTTGGAAACTCAGCAAGAAAGCCTTAATTAATTAATTTAAAAATCTAGTATCCAGAATATGTAATGAGCAACAGTTCAACAACAATAAAAAACAGGCAAGGAAGCTGGGCCTGGCAGTGCATGCCTGTAATCCCAGCACTCTGGAAGCTGAAGTAGGAGGATCTCCACAAGCTCAAGATCAGCCTGGGCTACAAAGTGAGCTCAAGGCCAGTCTAAACTGCACAGTGTGACCCTGTCTCAAAAAAACAAAAACAACAATAAAAACAGGCAAGAAAGCTGGATATGATGGTGCACACCCGTGAGAGGCTGATGAAGGAGGATCTCAAGGAGCCCATCCCAGGCAACTCACCGATTTAGTCTTTAATAATAAAAAGGCAGTGAGAGCCAGCAACATAGGCCAGTGCACTAAGCACCTGCTAAGGCAAGCAGAGGGACTGGGTTTTGATTCCTGGCACTGCATGCTACACAGTCCAGAGTCTGGGTGTGGTGGTGCACACCTATAGTCCCAGGGCTGGGGAGGCTGAAACAGGAGGATCACTATGAGTCCAAACTGCATAGTGAGACCCTGTACAAAATACATTTTAAAAAAGAGGCAGGGGGGCCTGCC